ATCCTAACCTGAAACCGTAAAGGGAAGGTATTAGAAATTGTACCACCAAACAGAGGCCTCTCTAAATAGAAATCTCCGTACGTTTTTACAATTAAATAACAACTTTCCATTCACAAATAAATCATTTGAAATATCAAAACTAGTGATCTTAATCCAAATGAAACCATAAACTGAATTAACAGGATTTGAAAAAATTGAACAAAAACAAAATGAAAAATTGAGATAATCTAATCAGGCATATGTAATCAGTGGCATAGAGAAGTTTACCTTAACCAAGCGAAAGTGGAGTGAGTAAGAGAGAAGTAGAAGCTACTGAAAGTCTTGCGCTTTTATAGACGAGCTGAGGTGCATCTTTGTGACGTCACCTACCCTTGATAAAAAACTTGATATTTAAAAATTAAATATGAATACAATGAATATAAAAAAAAAAAGCTGTTTATATTTATATTTTTAACAAGAATATCACTTTAAAAAAATATTTCACTAAACAATAATTTTTTAAGAAAAATCTACGACATCAATAATAACAAATCAAATATTGTTTTAATGTTTATAATATTAATTGATAAAGAAAAATTAATAAATTTTTTTTTTAAAAAAAGAAGGAAGCTTTTAAATGTAAATACCATGAATAACCATCTATCAAACGCCTTCCAAAAACCACCAGAGGAGATCAGGTCGGGCTGCCTTTGCTTCCTTTACTACCTGTTTCTTTCCTTTTCATCAAAAAATTTATGCCCCTATTTTTAATTTTGGTGAATCCTTCCGTTTTCCCCGATAAACACAATATCAACCATTTAACAACTGTTAATAAGTACCCAAAAACAAATTTCTTCTTAAGGGGCAGAAAATAGAATAAAAGAGAGAGAGAGAGAGAGAGAGAGAGAGAGAGAGAGAGAAATTTAACAGAACAATAATTTCTTTTTAAAACTAAAGAACTACAAGGTCAATAATAAAAATTCAGATATCATTTAAAGGTTTGTAAAAGAAATTGATAAAAAAAAAGGAAGGAAGTTTTTAAATGTAAATACCATGGAAGATCACCTATCAAACGCCATCCAAATATAACCAGCGTCATGGCTGTCTGCCTTTACTTTCATTGCTTACCTGTTCCTTTCCTTTTCATCCAAAAAATTAACTCCCTATTTTTTAATATTGTAAATCCTTCGGTTTTCCCCAATAAACACAAAATCAATAATTCAACAATTGTTGATAAGTACCCAAAAAAAAATTTCTTCTTTAAGGGACATAAATAGAACATAAGAGACAGATAAAAAATTTGATAGAACAATAATTTAAAAAAAAAACCTACGAGAAAAATAGTAAAAAATTTAATATTATTTAAAAGTTTGCAATAGAAATTAATAAAACAAAATAAATAAATTAAAAAAAAAGGAAGTAAGCATTTAAATGTAAATAACCAAGGACGATCATCTATCAAACGCATCCAAAAACCACAAGAGGGGGTCCTTATGTTTCATTTGGGTGAATCCTTATGTTTTCCCCCATAAGCACAAAATCAATCATTCAAACATTGTTGGTAAGAACACAAAAAAAAAACTTTTTAAGGGACAGAAAATGGATCAAAAGAGAGAGAGAGAGAGAGAGAGAGAGAAATTTGACAGAATAAAATTTATTTTCTACAAAAAAAGAATTACGAGGTCAATAATCTTAACCTAACATGAAACCTATGAGGGAAGCTATAAATTGCGCCATCAAACAAAGGCATCTCTAAATAGAAATCTTCAGACATTTATACAATTAATAACAACTTTTCATTCACAAATAAATCACTTGAAATATCAAAACAAGTGATCTTAACCCAAATAAAACTATAAACTGTATTAACTGGATATGAAAAAATTGAACATAAGTAAAACGAAAAACTTTCAAAAAACCTAATCAAACATATGTAATCAACGGCAAAAAGAAGTGTAAATACCATGGATAGTCCATCTATCCAATGTCATTCAAAAAACTCAAGAGGGGGTGTCAAGTCGGGTCAGCCTTTGCTTCCTTGACTACCTGTTTCTTTCCTTTTCATCAAAAAATTCATCCCTCTATTTTTAATTTTGGTGAATCCTTCCATTTTACCCCATAAATAAAAAATCAACCATTCAATAATTGTTGATAAGTATAAAAAAAAAATCTCTTACGGTACAGAAAATAGAATAAAAGAGAGAGAAAAAAAAAATTGACAGAATAATAATTTTTATTTTTTTAAAAGAAAAGAACTATGAGGTCAATAATAAAAAATCAATTATTATTTGAAGTTTGTAAAAGAAATTAATAAATTAAAAAAAAGGACGGAAGCTTTTAAATGTAAACCATGGATGATCACCTATCAAACACCATCCAAAAAAAAACAGGGGTCAAGTCTCCCTTTACTTCATTGATTACCGGTTCCTTTCCTTTTCAGCAAAAAATTCATCCCCCTATTTTTTATTTCTGTGAATCCTGTTTTCTCCCATAAACACAATCAATAATTCAACAATTGTTGACAAGTACCCAAAAAAAGATTTTTTTTTAAGGGACATAAAATAAAACATAAGAAACAGATAAAAAATTTGACAGAATAATAATTTTTTTAAAAAAACTACGAAATTAATAGTAAAAAATTAAATATTAATTGAAAGTTTACAATAGAAATTGATTAAAAAAAATGAATTAAAAAAAGAAACAAAGCATTTAAATGTAAATACCATGGACGATCATCTACCAAACGCCATCCAAAACAAAAACCATCAGAGGGGGGTCAACTCGGGCTACCTTTGCTTCCTCGATTACTTGTTCCTTTCCTTTTCATAAAAAAATTCAACACCCTATTTTTTATTTTGGTGAATCATTCTGTTTTCCCCTCATAAGTACAAAATCAACCATTAAACAATTATTGATAAGAATTCAAAAATAAAATATTCTTGTTAAGGGACAGAAAATAGAACAAAAGAAAATGAAAGAAAAATTTATGTGCTTACCGCAGGCCGGAGCTTTGGGTTTCTTGCAACACCCATTTGGTTCGCTGTATGGAGGTGAACTAATTTTGTTCAAGACCACAAACAAAACCGGTTAGGACCGGTTGGTTAAAGCGGAAAAACAGTAGAGAAAAATTGTTACCGCAAGCGGCGGCGAGGAGGCTTGCGTAGTGGCATTCACTCTGCCCTGCCACTGGTGTGGTTCGGTTCTCCGCTTCCCCAACACACAGTCATCCAACCGTCGCGGTGCTACCACCAATCGCAAATCGCAAGCACTCGGCCTTGCCACCACACGCTCATAGGCATCGGCTAAAATTTCTTGATGTTACCTAGATATTAGACCATAAAAATTTTTAACACAATGTAAATTATATTTAATAAAATATTTAAAGTGTTATTCAATTTTAAAATATACAAACATAATTTTTTTTATAAGCATAATAGTACTTTACATTGTCCGTAGATTTTTCTTACAAGATTTTTGTTTTTTTTAAGCACAAAATATAAATTTTATACTTATTTAAAATATAATATAAATATTACTTTTTATAATTATAAAAACTATAATATAGATATTATTTTATATGATTAAAATTATAAAAAATGAAAAATATTAACAAAACAATACTATAAAGAAATTATAAATTAATTTATCTAATATAATAAAATATTAAATTAAAAATATTAAATCATAATACAAA